AAATCACCTTGGGTATTCCAGATGAAAATGCAACGCGAAAGAGAGGAAGAAAGGGTAAAATTGCCTTTTTTCTATTAGTAGTGGCTATATTTGCTGAGCATTATAATTAGTGGATAAAAATTAAAGACACCCTTAATTAGTGGCTACTACACACCATTTTTACATGGTTTTATGGATTTGAACCTGATAGTCTATCTTCTTTTAGATTATATATATACCCTTTTGTTTCATCTTGAAAAGTAAGGAAAAATCAAAGTAAAAACTTTTCTACTATTGTGTTGGGTTATTTTTGTTAAACTTTGTTGTTTCTGCTCCTAGTTTATACTAGAAGGGCTTGTTGAATCCTGGGGGATACGCTTAATTTTATATATCACTGTGTGGGCGAAATATCCTTAAGGACAGTGTCTTTGACACGCCTCAAGCTAAACCTTTTATTCTCCATAATCATCTAATTTTTCCAACACGAGGTACCGGGAAACATAATAATAGTCCACTTCTGTAGTGCTTCAAATAAATAAAAGAACAATCCACAACAGTACTCATTCCATTACAACTGCTTTAAAATGGCTCTATCTACATCTTACAATACTCATACCACTAACACAATCGCTTAAAAGAATTGCTCTATCTTGAGATTTGAATTAAAATAAGAGATCACAACAATCTTTACAGCCAACAGAAGAAGACACTGAACACAAAAACAATCAAAGAATCTGTACAAAGTATTCCAACAAGTACTAGTATATCATTTAACCACCAACCAGTCAAGGATGTCATTTCTGTTGTCACGGAAGTATATTCCTAACGTCGAAACTAATAAGACGAGGATAGCCATGATAATGTACTTTTTGTGGCGTTGCCTTGGCTGTATCTGAACCTCGGTTTCCTCTGACGTGACAACCATATTAGGCTCTTCAGTTATCGACACAGAAGACTTGCTGCCTTGATCGGTAGGTTTATCAGGTGGTAACTCGTCCACCTAAATAAAGAACCAACATTTCTATTAGAATTATAGAATGAAGTCAGTCTCTTCTTATTTTTTATCAAGTAGAATGAGATCAATCTCTTTATGCAGCAAACACAAACAATCAGGGAAACGAAAGGAACTGTCTTATTCTTGTTGCTTTTTCTGGTCTTGTAACTAATGGCAGGGGAAGATTTATAATGGAACCTTATTTTGTGACTACAGAATAATGCAGATTCACAAAACAATGTTATGGAACTATGACAGGTAAAGAAATAAGAAACTGGGGTAAAATAAGCTAGGCTCTCTGCCTTTACTATTCTGAACAAAGTAAAGTGGCAGCCAAACATGACCCCGATTAGAACAGCAGATTATGGTCATTAAAACTCGTTTAAAAGTTGAAGGAGCTTTACTCCTGTATTAATAGGTTTCTGTCACAGGAAAGACGCTGAAGAAAACAATAGACATTATCAAAATCTGTAACATGTTGCCACCACCAGAGAGTAATGACCAGATGAACACATTAAAAATGTTTGCATGGTTCGAATATTTCATCTGTGAGCACCTATCTGTAGAATTTGGTGAATCAAAGGACGATTTTAGACATTTCAGAGAGAAAAGAGAGGGAAATTATTTAACGTAGAGCAGAGACTAGTTATGATACAGGTTTCAGATGCTTTTCCTACAAATGGTTCAGATCTGCTAATCTCCCATCTTGAGAAGCAATGACCTCGGAAAGAAAAATAAGACCAGAAGAAGTTGGCAGATGATTGGACAAACATAGATTGCATGTGAACCATCACCAAAGATAGCAAATAATCAAGATTCAGCTTTTACATTTAGACGACATAGAACAAGATCACTAATCCTCAGAACCTTAATCTGCCAGGTGTTGCTAGTTATATCATATGTCTTAAGTATCCAGGCATCAAACTTTCATGGTTATAGCACATTAGACTACTTCAATCAGAGGGTTATACTATACATAGAAAGAAATTTTTTGGTTTGAGCTTGGTAGTTGTTGTGTTGAGAAGGAAAGTTTAACTTAGAGTGGATGATAATTGTCACCTGGAAGAAACTTAAGGGAAAAAAATTTCTTCACGAGCAAATAAATCTAGATAAGCTTGAATTCAGTGTGCCTTTGCAGAAGCGTCCTCGTCAGACCTCAATTCTGAGGCTAAGACTAAAAGCATATGAGGTGTCTGGTCAGGTTAAGGTCCTTAGACTTCACAGATAACGTGGCCGGGTCTGTTCATGAAAAAGAACGAAACATGCAAACAGATAGTGTCACCGGAATGTTCCTTTTTTATTTGATAACCGAGAAATCCCCGAGTGCAAGTGGTGCACAGTTTGAAACTCGGAGGATAATTGGCCCGCCCTTCTACCTTCTCTACTTAAATATCAAGCCTTTTCTCTGCAGCAGCGTAATGTGCACCTAACCCACACATCATGTGCTATGTTCTTACCACTAGACTAAAGCCCCGGGAACAATAGGACTAGAATGTTGTCAAAGAGTATAATTAAAAAAGCACATAGATACTGCATTTTCAAGAAGAAACATTCGTATAAGGGATATACAGCATGCAATAAATTATTTCAGATGATCTTCCTTCTGAACTCCAGAGATAATTCTAAGATCACATTGAACAGCAAGCAGCACCAACAGTGTCTTATTTAGCTACAGTAAGTAGGATAATGAGTGGCATATATCCGAACACAACATATTTAGGAAATGATGTATGCAATAAAACGAAATAAATACCTGGGAGCTTTCCAGTGTGGATTCTGTTTGAATTTCATGAGAACTATCTGTAGAGGTAGCGAATGTTGAGACAACTCTAGAAGATGAGAGCTCAGTATCACCACCTCCATTCACAAGTACATGTATGGACGGTTGCTTCTCTTTCGTCTCCAACTTCCTGATCAATGATTTGTTTTCCTTGGTCAAACAAAAAATCTGCCCCAAAAAAGAAAAAGAAGAAAAGAAAAGCAGTCAGTACTCAACACCGTTTCAAACTTTAAACTTCTATACAAAAAGCAACAAAAAAAAAGAAACTAAAGCACCTGTTTTTGTACTCGTTCCCTTTCTATAGCTAGCTGCATGACCAAATCCATGATAAAGCTGGTTTTGATGTTAATGTCTTTTGCACTTGCAATTTTCTCAACAGTAGCTTGATTCAAAGAAGTCTCCAACCCTTCAACTCTTGATCTTAGAAACTCTACTTCTTTGTTAAGTTTGTTCCTCCGCATGCTCAGTCTTGCTTTCAGCTTTTAAGACCTTTTGTTTTAGTTCATCGATTAAAGTTTCCATATCCCAAATGGCAGAATAAAGCATATTCTGTTGTTCTTGACTTGCTTCAGATGATGCCTTAGCATTTTGTAGCTGAATTTCTAGTTCCCTGACCTGCTTCTCGAGAATGCTGACCTTTTTAGCATTACTCTCATTACTACTCTTGTGAAAATCCAACTCTTCATGTAGTTCCAAGTTTGTCTCCGTCAAATGTGCTACCTTTTCCTCCGCATTTTCAGACTTATGTTCTGCAATATCGATGTCTTCTTTCTGAGATTCTACGACACATTCCAGTTCTTTAAGCCGCTCTTCACTTACTTCATTCAGTTCATTTGCTTTCAACAACTTAGACTCGGATTCTTTCAACTTATCTTCTAAAATCTTCAGCCTGTCCCTTAAAGAGGATACTTCAGCATTTTCAGCAGTAAGTTGTTTAATGCTGCTATTAAGGTTTTCGATGGTAATATCTTTGGCATTTACCTGTCCTATGCAATTATCAATCTTCAGTTTAAAATCGCGCTCTCGTTGAAGTGAACCATTCAAATTGAAGTTAACAATCTGTAGTCGGCTCACCATCTCTCTGGAAATTCCCATAAGTACCTCCGCTGCATTTTCCGACTCTAAAAACCTGCCCCATATAACCTCTGCACCCTCTTCCATACACAGAGCTACTTGTTCTGTTAATCGCAGCTTCAACTTTAGATCATCTTCGTTTTGTTTAAGCACAGTCAACTTCTTCTCAAGATCCAACTCTCTTTCAAGGGATTTCTCCAGCATTCTTAATGTACGTCTTTGCTCAACTGTCTGCACGTGCGGCTTCAATTCTCTTGCTGAAACATTATTAGTTTCTGATAAATCCAAACTCATCCTTTGTCTCCCTGTTAATACATGAACCAGAAAACGATATAAAGTCTTTAACACGTTAGTAAAGAAAGAAAAAACGCATTGTTGAACCTAATAAGTTTCATAACTTACATTCATTTTGGTCGAAAGCTAATGAGGTCAACTGCGACTTGGCAATCTGCATCTTCATTTCTAGGATACGCTCCTTTGATTGTCTCAATAACTCCTCAGTATCATGAAATTTGTTCTCCATTATCATATCCAAATCACTCAATTCTCTGCACGTTATCTTTTGCCTCGCACCAGTGATTAGGTCTTGAAGAGTGCCTATGAAATTGTCCAGTTGTCTTATCTCGGAGCTCAAAATGGAAGATAAGTGATCCAACACCAGTATTTTCTCAATTGAGTCGGGAGAAATGTCATCATTCTCGAAAGAAATTGTTTCAACTTCATTTTCCCAGGTCAAGATATGCATCAAAAGATTGTCAAGATTCGTCAATTTCTCATCAGAATACGCGAGGTCCAAATCTACTCTATTCAAGATTTCCATGGAACTCCTCATCTCTTCCATCTCCTTAGCTTCACTTGAGAGACTTTCGATTACTAAGGTTTCCATTGCTTGTGGATTGATAATATCAGTAGTACGTGCAGCTAATTCTTCAATTTCCATTCATCAGCACTTCCCATAGAGAAGCTGCAAATGGGAAGGGAAACATCATTACACGAAATGCAAGTACATACTAATTTCCAAAGTGCATAGACCAAGTGAATAAGTAGGAAGCTAAGAAACGAAAAGAACTTGAAGGAATGTATAGTAAAGGCAAGGTGTTTATAATTATATTTGCTAAATTGCCATCTGTATATGTCTTATACTTTAATCAGTGCCAAGGTTATTGGTCATCTATAGATGGTTTTGAGTAATTTAACAGATACCACTTTTCTTTGTATAATATGTGCTTGCTATCATGTAGACTAGTCAAGTTTCGATAGGAAAACAACAACCCAAAAGCGAAACACTGAAACCCAATAGATCATCCCAATGCTTACACATATGTACAGATACTTGAAAAATTTTACACCATTCTGAGACCTCAAATATGTCTACCATAAAAGCACGTTTTTGCATTACCTAACCCCGTAACATCTTTTATCCAAGCGAAGGAACTAATCAGTCAATTCGTTACTGCTAACATTCTGATTTTTACTCACGCTTTTATCAAACCTTCATGGCCTGGTAAAATGTTTCACAATTGTTCAGTTCCTTTCTTTCCTTTAGACCATCTTCTCACTTTCTCCTCACAGATAACTAAAGCGCTGTTGCAATTGAATACTTAACAAGGACAAAGTGCGACAGTCTGTTAGCTGTGTGCTCTTTAAGAAAATATCGGAAAGCTAAATAACCACCAAGAAGATTCAAGATGTAAAACAAAGAATTAGAGCAAGAACTACAAAGCCACTTACAACAACAACAACAACAACAACAACAACAACAACAAAAAACCCAATGCAATCCCACAAGTGGGGTTTGGGGAGGTAGTGTGTAAGCAAACCTTAGCCCTACCTTGTGAAGGTAGAGAGGCTGTTTACAATAGACCCTCGGCTTAAGAAACAGTAAACGAAGAAGCCACCTAATTACCTAAAATGGTAAGGATCATTAAAAAAGTTTATCCTTAGTCTCTTATAAGTAGTACTCCTATATTTCTCCACATTCTTCTTAGTTATGATTTCCTACAGTACATTAAAGTTGTAAGCAAGTAGATAACATCAAACTGCTACGACAGAACTTTTGTTCTATCTATCTATTGAACATAGATATCATATAAACACTCAACACAAGCTCCTTTACTTTGCTGCACATCATATATTATCACAGGAAACCGAAAATAGAGAACTTCAAGAATTTATAGCATCAGAATACAGTGGCAGCATATTTTTAAGCATACAGACTTGTAAATGTTAAGAGACAACATAATTCAACTTCCTCCATGCTCAAAATCAGGAAAATTTGCAGTGCCCATCTTTTGTTTTAATGAAAGTTAAAGAAAGGCTTTTCCACAACAAAATTATAGACAAACACTAAGCAAGAAAATCTTATATCCACCAAAAACACTACAATTATACTAATACTAAAGGGCAGCCCGGTGAACTAAGCTCCCACTAGTGCACGGGGTTCAGGAAAGGGTCGGACCATGAGGGTCTATTACAGGCAGCCTTACCTGTAGAAATACAGGATATTGTTTTCACGACCTCGTGGTCACATGAAAGCAACTCTACCAGTTATGCCTTTTCAACAATTATACTACTACTAAAGTAATTAATTCACAAACACTTGTCTATTATGAAAAATTAAGTCAAATTATGAAAAGAAAGCTTCAATTTTCAAGAAAGAAAATAGAATAAAGATTTGCCATACACACCTTTGTGAAGAAAATCTTATGGGGGTTCAGAGTGAATGGTCACAACATGAAGATAAAGCTACTCAAGAGTCACGTTTCATTTAATAGCTTTCCTTTTTCATAACTTGAATACAGTTAAATTTGGAAAGTGGCAAAGAATTGTGTGATCTACAAGGACTAAAGGGTCAACCCGAAGAAACTTGGTTCACGGTTGGTTGGTGGCTAAAGTATTTAACGTGGGGTCCACAACCTTCAGACCAACCAATGACATCTCGCCACGTCGGCTAAATATCAGATTGAAGCTTCATTAAATCTTGGTCACGAAATTCACCATTTGTTTCAGAAGAAACATTAATATTCTTGTACTTTGTTCATATTCTGGAATTTCTTGATTTTGTGAAGAAGTTTTGGGATTTGAAAGGAAAAGAAAAGAAAAGAAAGAGGACAGAATTTTTAGTGGAAAGGAAATGGTATGGCAGGAGCCAGGAGCGCACGTTGGAGGAGTACAAAAATCAATAATTGAGGGAGGAAGATGTTGGGGTCCAAACAATAATAACGTACAAATAACAAAATAGTGCTCAAATCCAGCTTAGAAATTGTCATTACTCTAATGTTTTATAATTTTCCAAAATTAACGTTCTTAATCATATACTTCCTTCGGTTCACGTTAAGTGACTAATTTACTTTTTTATTTTGGTTCAAAATAAGTGTCAAGTTATGTAATCAAGAAAGAATTTAATTTGTTTTTATAAAATAACCCCTATATACATATCCCTAAAAAATTTTCTTACTCCTCACATTAAATATTTAATTAGGGGTAATTTAGTCATAATAAATATTTTTGTATAGAATTTAGTATTTTTTTAATGAGTAATAATTAAGTATTATTGTCAATGTCCTTGTCCCTGTCATAATTGAAGAGTCCACAAAATAGATCATCAAAGTATATCCCTTCTAGATCCTTATCCTAAATGAAATTAATTACCAAATTAGGAAAATGAATTTAAAAAATTGAAAGTGAAGTTTGGAAAATTTGAAATTTAGACCATAAAAATATAACTCGTCTAATCTTAGGTGGGTTGAGATGAATTTAATTTTGGGAAACTTACGCAAATGTCCCAAATAAGTCACAACTTACCAACCTTTAGTCATTAGTCATAGATTTACCAAAACTAGCTAAACACATATAAAAATTAAAAAATCAAATAAATAAGGTTTTTTCTCTCAAAGAATCACATGCAAAAATCTCCTTCCATATTTTAAGCGTGATTAGCAACATTTGATGCAAGACGAAAAGGAAATTTCATGGATGAGATAGCAAATAAGGCGATGAAATACAAAAAAATATATACAATATTCTAAAAATCCAAGCAAAAAGGAATTTTTTCAATTGGTATAGTTGAAATTCATTGAAAACATATAAATCAGTCTTCGGAGTTGATTTGGATTGGTTTTGTATCAACTGTCGTAATTAAATTGAGTTCAAAAAATTCTTCTACGACACATGTATCACGCATGTATCTCACACACAATGATACAGGTATACATGGATATACATGTGAAACACAAATGATACACAGTGTGATACACAACATCTTTTTCGTGTTCAGTTTTTACTTCGAATTTTCAATTCAAACCACCTCAAAACTTCACCAAATCATCCCAAAACTGAGATTCAAACTCCTTAAGATGTACCTAATCTATTCTAATAACACATACTCAAAAGAAAGCAAAAATTTAACTTTTTTTGTTACAAATAATTAATTGGCTAATATTAATAATATTTTATGAATTGACCAATTTTTTAATAGCTTCGACCAATTTTGAATTGATCCTAACGAACTTATAAAAACAATTATGAAAACATGGATAAAAATGATCCGAGTTTCTTTGTTGAGTCTGTTTTGCGAACTTACCATAGTCCAATCTGGAAATTAAATTTAATTAAAAATTTGTAAAAAAAATAAAAAATAAAATCCTATCCGTCCCATTTTAATTGCTGCTTTAGCTAAAAAAAGTTGTAATATTGCAAAATGGACCTTACATTTGCAGTTCCCATAAGACAGTAAAATCATGACTCTCGAATACTGCAGAGAGTCAGAGAATTGATTGTTCTTTTCAAGTTTCAAGAGAACCTAAAGAAACACAACATAGTCCACAATAAAAAAAGAACTAATTATACTCCCTCCATCACATATTATGTATCGTGTTTCTCTTTTACACGCCCCTTAAAAAATATTAATTAAAAAATAAATTAAACTATTTTACCCCTTTTTATGTCATAAGGTATACGAAAAATATATTTGGTCAAACCAAGAATGACCCAAATGTCCAGAATGGAGGTCTAATGATAATTTCACACGACTTTTGAGGGCATAATGGATATTTGTGCATTTTCGTTTTCCATATATACCCTTTGGCAGATTTTAGTTTTAAATTAATTTTTTTCAACAATTCTCTCTCGCTAATTTAATTATCTTACCTTCCCAAGATGCATGCTTCATCATTTTCGATAAAGCTCCTTTACATATACTATACTAATTAAACGAAATACACTAAAATATACATATACTATACCAATTAATCGAAATACACTAAAATATATAGATAATATATTAGAGGAAATACATATAAAAATTACGGATTTATGATTAAAGTGGTCACTTTCTAACCCTAAACACTTAATATATTTGGCCAAACATAAAAAGCTTTTCCAGCCCCCATTTTTCTATCTTTGTTTTCTCCTTCTTCATCTCTTATCTTTCTTAGGGTTAGATTAATGAATGGACCGCGGGAAGATGAATAGTGCTTCGAAAGTTTATGTAGTATTTCGTGGTAAGAGGTCTAGATTATACAACTCTTGGCATCGGTGTGTTCCTATGGTTATTGGTGTCAAGGGTAGCATCTTCAAGGCCTTCAAAACATATGATGAAGCCATAGCAGCTTTTAATGAGTTTAGAAATGGATCTCAAGCTGATAATATATCGACATCGAAGGTGTATGTGGTATTTCGTGGTAAAAAACCAGGATTATACAACTCTTGGTGTGAGTGTGCTCCTATGGTTATAGGTTTCAAAGGAAGCATCTTCAAATCTTACAAATCTTATGATGAAGTAGTAGCAGCATTCAATGAATTCCAAAAAGAAATTGTTTACAGTGAAGAATAATCTTCAAATTCGTGTGTTGATGAAAGTGATGTTGGATTAAGTGCTATGTCATCTATGCTGTTAGCTGGAATGTTTGTAGGGATGAAGATTTCAAAAAATTGTTCAGTTTGATTGTTGATAAGAGCATTTTGTTCAGCTTTTGATTATTGTTTAGTTTGGTTATTATCAGTTTGATTGTTTAGTTTGATGTGTTACTGGTTGCCGCATTCAATCTCTGTAGAATAGAGTATTTAGGATACCAAAGCCTTTGTCTTTTGTACTCTATGTTGGAATGAAATAAAATATGTCTCTTGAATTTATAAAAAAAATTATTTTGAATTGAACTGAATGTTTTTAATTTGTCTATATTGTTGGAACCTTATAAGTGCCAAAGTGTTATTATTTTGAACTTGTTTTAATCCGTACTACATTGATTCATAAGCACTCAACTATCTCCAAGTACTCATCAACTATCTTCATAAGTTCAGTATGTGCTATATTTTGCATCTTGAAGTACTAAACTATCTTCATATTTATTGACAATACATTTCCTATTGTCCAATGTTGGTGTCATAAGTTGAATGTGCTATATTAATTTGAAAAATAAATTGCCCAATATTAGAGGACTTAATTAATCTTTACAGATGTTACTATTAGTACTTTCATTACATTAGGCATCAAACGAACAGTTGCAATGTTGTAGACAATGAGACTGTTTTGTTAACTTGAATCAAACGATCATTATGCCTCACTATTTTTGAAGGGTTTTCTATACCTGATAATAGGTTAAATTGTATAGTTTGGCATAAGTTTGGACTCTAACTTAAGGAGTATTTACTGTTTAAATGTGTAAATAATGCAAAAATTGGCTCTAATGGTGACTCTGTGTTTCAAAGGAGTGCAATACCCAAATGAAGACTTATGATGGTGATCCGGGCAAAAATTGGAACTAGTGGACGAATTCAGGGAATGAAGCTTGACATGGCAGAATATAACCCCACTAGCGCGGGCATTAGCGCGGACTTAGTGCGCCCGTGCTAGTCTAGTCATCAAAAGCAGAATGTAACCTTACTAGAGCGGGCATTAACGCGGCCTTAACGCGCCCGCGTTAGTCCAGTCATCAAAAGCAGAATGTAACCTCACTAGCGTGGCCTTAGCGCGCCCGCGCTAGTCCAAATGTGGGAAAGAAATGTGCAGGGGCAAATTAGGAATTCCAAAGCAAAAACCACACGAACTATAAATGCTTTAATGCATCCAAGAAAAAGGGAATGAGTTTTTAGGGTTGAGAAGAAGACAAGAAGGGGCAAGAAGCAAGGAGGCAATTTGGGCAACAATTCTTATCTCCCTAGTTTGTTCTTTTATCAATTACTATGAATTCCTTTGTAGTTTTTATCATTGTTATGAGTAGCTAACTCTTTTAATCTAAGATTTTGGGTGACCTCGTTGTGGATGAACTTGTTGTTATATTAATATAGTTTTGAGTTGGTTGTTAATATTTATTTGTTCAACTACGTTTTGATTTTGGTTAGTTGAAAGGATCCTCAATTAGCCATTCCTATTTATTATGTATCTGCTTGAGAGAGAGTGCATATTTAGATAATTGTTTGAACAACATCACTCCCGAAGTATAGGCGAGAGTCATAACTGAGGGTTTAGAGGTTGGAGTAGAGATAACGATACCTCAGGTGCGATCTAAGTGAGTTATAATGCGATCTAGCTAGAGTAGCTTGAGAGAATGCGTCTAGTAAATTATCATAATTACTTGAGAGAGAGTTATGATAGCTGGAGAGTTCATGATCGATAGATGCAACTAAATCGAAGTTATAAGAAACATACAACTAAGGAATTCAACAACGGGGAATACCATTACCTTAGACCTTTATTCCAATTGTCTACAACTGCGTGTTAGTTAATGTTTGTTTTATTAATTCTGTTAGCTGTAATAGTGACCATAACGCCACTTGTTATTCACAAAGTTTGAGAAGGTTGACTAATAAGAATTTAGTACTTTAAAGGCTTCTCTTGATACGTTAATTCTCTGTGGGATTCGACTCAGAGCATAATACCCCAGATTATATTTGCAATGCCCCCTTAGTATTTTAATAGACACAGTTGAGCGTGATAAAATTTTGGCACCATTGCCGGGGAGTTAACGGTATTATCAACTCTGATTGAAAGAAGTAAAAAAAAAATTCTTAGTGTAGTTAGTTTTCTCTATATCCAATTTTTACATTGAAATTTTTTAACGTTTGTCGACTTGGTTGCACAGGTGCATGCCTAGAAACTCATCGAGAACTGGTGAAGTATTTGAAGCATTATCAGATCCCAAGAAAGTTTTCAAGGGCTTGAACCGGTTCAACCGAAAAAACAAACAACAACAAACAACTGACCCATTAGAAACAGCAATGGGAGATCACGAAGAACACCCAGTTGTACCAATAGCGCCAATGACACCTCTTCTGCCCGAGGCGTCTCTTTATGACTGGGCAACCACAGCTAAAAATCTGGCCACCTCGATTTTAGTCCCGTAGATACAAGCTGAATCATTCCAAATCACGAATAACATGCTGATTTGTTGCAAAACAAGGGACTATTTTCGGGGTCACAAGTCGAAGATCCTCAACAACACTTGAAATTTTTTCTATCAATCTACAAAACCCAACGGCAACCCAATGTAACTTCGGAAGCAATCAAGTTGCTATTGTTCCCATTTTCAGTGACATGAGCTGCCCAGACCTGGTTAAACTCACTCCTCATAAATTCCATAATAACTTGGGAGGAGTTAGTCAGGAAATTCGTGAACAAGTTCCACCCCCCAACAAAACTGCGCAACAGATTGATGACATTTTGAGTTTTAAACAGAGACCAATGGAAACATTGCGTGAAACATGGGAGCATTTTAAAGGGATGTTGGTCATATGTCCGCACCATGGCATTCCAGATTTAATGTTGGGACAACGGTTCTATATAGGATTGTCAGATAGCGTGAAGAACATTATTGATGCTTCAGCTGGTGGAGCATTTTTGAGTAAAACATGGAGAGAAGGTCAAGGTCTGCTTGACAAGATGGCACAAAATTCGGGATGGATAACCAGAAATGCACCTATCACTCCAGTGGTGCACTTAGTGCCTTTAGATCCATCCAATTCAATGGCTGAAAATATGGCCACCTTATTGACACAAATGAGCATACTCACCAAAAAGGTGAAAGAGTCAAAGCAAAATAGTAAGTACATATTGTAGATACTACTAATGGGGGCTTGTGCACATCTTGCATTAGTCAGCCAACTGGTAACCAATGGAAAGCAGAACACGATCATCAGCATTACCCTGAAGATATGAACTATGTGTCTAATTATGGGGGCCAGAGATAGGGTAGTCAGAATTGGGGTCAGTAGAATCAGCAGTACAAGCCATCCCAATCACAGTTCAACAGTGGGAATATGGGAGATATAAGATCCCCCAACAATATAGCACCTTACCCAAGGCCACAGGGATACAACAATCAGAATCAACAACAAGGGTATCACCCTCATCAGCAGCAGTATAGTGGAAGGCAGGAAGATGAGTTTGTTAGACTTGAAGCAATGATGCAACAAGTTATTGGGTCTAATGCAAAGATTAGTGAGAGAGTAGATGCACATGATTCAACGATCAAAAATATTGAAATGCAGATGGGCCAAATTTTGATGTCTTTGAACAATCGCCCTCATGAGACACTACCTGCAGATACCCAGGTAAATCCAAAAGATCAAGTCCCGAAGCAGCTGATGGCGGTGAGCCTACGTAATGGCAGAGATTTGGATGTAGAGCAAGAAAGGGCCAGAGAAGCCAGAGAGGTTGAGACACTCATATCAGTACCTATTGAGTTGGATGAATCAACGAAACTGACAGAGGTGACAGTCCAGCCTGCCCAGGAGGAAAGTAGCATTCAAATGGAGACCGAGAAAGAAGTTGAGATAGCACAGGAACCAGTGGTTGATGTGATAGCTGATAAAAATTGATCCCAAATGATTGGGAAGAAGAGATCTCCTTCACCCTTCCCTCAGAGGTTAGCCAAGTACCAAAAAGAGGAGCAATACAAGAAGTTCTTAGAAATGCTAAAACAAATCCAGGTAAATATTCCCTAAATTGATGCTTTGAAAGAGACGCCTGGGTATGCAAAAATGATGAAGGACTTAATGTCCTGAAAATTTGATTTCCAAGACTTGGCCACAATTACTCTTACTCAGACCTGTAGTGCAGTGGTGACTAGACCAATTGCGAAAAAGCTGTCTGACCCAAGGAGCTTTACAATCCCATGCACTATTGGTGATTTTGCCTTTGCTAAAGCACTGAATGATTTAGGGGCCAACATTAATCTTATGCCCCTGGCCATTTATAAGAGGCTGGGTATTGGAAGAGCTAGACCCATCTCTATGTTGTTGCAGTTGGCTGACAGGACGGTAAAACGACCCTCTGGTATTCTGGATGACGTGTTGATTCAGGTAGGGAAATTTGTGTTTCCTGCAAATTTTGTAATCTTAGACTATAAAGTGGATGAAGAGATTCCCATAATTTTGGGAAGACCGTTCCTAGCCACGGGGAGAGCTTTAATTGATTGTGAAACTGGGGAGTTAAAGATGAGGTTGAACGATGAAGAGATAATATTCAACGTGTAGAAATCTATGAGGCGACCAAGTAAATTCGCCAATTGCTCTCTTATTGATGCCATGAATGTAATTGTAGAGACCGGTGATGAGCTGCTGACTATTGAAGATCCCCTCGCTGCATGTCTAATGAATTTAGATGAGGTAAAGGGAGAAGAACTGGCTGGATGAGTGATGGCATTAGAGGGTAGAGGGTTCTGGGATAGAACTCTTGAATTTGAGCCCTTGCACTTGGAAAACAGAGAAACTCCTCCAGCCAAGCCATCAATCGAAGAACCACCAAAGCTGGAGTTAAAACCATTGCTAGCCCATCTCAGGTATGAGTTTCTTGGACCTGACTCCATATTACCTGTTATTATCTTATCTAGTTTGTTAGATGTGCAGACTCAACAACTTTTGCAGGTACTTAAGGAGTGCAAGACTGCCATTGGGTAGACCATGGCAGACATAAAGGGGATCAGCCCTGCATACTGTATGCACAAAATTCTACTGGAAGAGGGATACAAACCTTCCAGGGAACACCAAAGAAGGCTGAACCCCAATATGAAGGAAGTGGTGAAGAAAGAAGTGAGTAAGTGGTTAGATGCGGGAATCATTTTCCCAATTTCTGATAGTACCTGGGTTAGCCCAGTTCAATGTGTACCTAAAAAGGGTGGCATGACGGTAGTTAAGAATGATAACAACGAATTGATCTTTACAAGAACTGTCATAGGCTGGAGAATCTGCATGGATTATAGAAAGCTAAATCTAGCCACCCGGAAGGACCACTTCCCACTTCCTTTCATTGATCAAATGTTAGATAGATTGGCAGGGAGGTCACACTTCTATTTTCTGGATGGATACTCGGGGTACAACCAAATTTCTATTGCCCCGGAGGATAGGAAAATGACTTCATTTACTTGCCCTTACGGAGTGTTGGCCTTCAGGAGAATGCCATTTGGTCTTTGTAATGCACCTGCAACATTCCAACGGTGCATGATGGCCATTTTCACAGACATGGTAGAAGATATTATGGAGGTCTTCATGGACGATTTCTCAGTGGTGAGAAATTCATTCGATGAATGCCTAGCAAATTTAACCCGTGTACTGAAGAGGTGTATTGAGACGAATCTAGTGTTGAATTGGGAGAAGTGCCATTTCATGGCATAAGAAGGAATCGTCTTGGGGCACTTAGTGTCGAATAAAGGTATTGAGGTGGACAGAGCCAAAGTCGACATGATAGAAAAACTTCCACCTCCCACATCAGTCAAGGCTATTCGTAGCTTCCTGGGACACGCCGGCTTCTACCGGCGATTCATCAAGGACTTTTCCAAGATCGCCAATTCCCTATGTAAGTTGCTCGAAAAAGATAACCCATTTGTGTTTTTTGATGATTGTTGGGTAGCTTTTGAGAAACTAAAGAAGAGGCTAGTAACAACACCGATTATAGTTGCTCCCGACTAGGTGCAACCGTTTGAACTCATGTGTGATGCTAGTGACTACGCTGTGGGAGTCGTGTTGGGACATCACAAGGATAAGGTAATGCACCCTATTTACTACGCAAGTAGGACGTTGAGTGGTGCTCAGCTGAATTACACGGTAACTAAAAAAGAAATGTTGGTTGTTGTGTTTGCCTTTGATAAGTTCAGATCTTATTGATTGGGTCGAAGGTGATCGTGTACACAGATCACGTAGCCATTCGGTATTTAGTTGATAAAAAAGAGTCCAAACCCCGCCTAATTCATTGGGTGCTGCTTTTTCAAGAGTTTGACTTGGAGATTCGTGACCGTAAGGGCATGGAGAACCAAGTCGCTGATCATTTGTCATGCCTTGAAGGTGCTGAAAATGCGACTGAGTCTAAGGATATTTTGGAAACCTTTCCAGATGAGCAGCTGCTAGCCACAAATGTGGAAAATATGCCATGGTATGCTGATATTGCAAACTATTTGGCCTGCGGCATTGAACCATATGAACTCTCCTATGTTCAAAAGAAACAATTTTATCGTGACTGCCGAAACTACTACTGGGATGAACCGCATTTGTTTAAAATTTGTATTGATAATATGATCTAGATATGCATCCCCGAGATAGAACAATGTTCTGTTTTGCAGGCTTGTCAAGCATCACCTTATGAAGGACATTCTGGAGGAGTTCGGACAGCAGCGAAGGTGTTAGAGGCTGAGTTCTACTGGCCAACAATCTTTAAGGATGCTCACCAATGGGTAAAGGGCTGCAACGAATGCCAAAGAACGGGAAACATATCCCGTCGACATGAGATGCCAATGAATCCAATCAGCAAGTTGAGGTGTTCGATGTTTAGGGAATTGATTTCTTGGGTCCCTCCGTTAGTTCTTACGACAATTAGTATATACTTGTTGCGGTAGATTACATGTCCAAATGGGTGGAAGCTTCAACGTTCCCCAGCAATGATTCGAGAGTGGTGGTGGGGTTCTTTAAGAAGAATATATTCACCCGATTCAGGATTCCGAGAGCCATCATTAGTGACGGGGGCACGCACTTTTGCAATCGTGTCTTTGAGAAGCTGCTGGCTAAATATGACCTATACCACAAGGTAGCAACCAAGTATCATCCTCAAACAAGCGGGAAGGTAGAGGTCTCAAACCGTGAGATCAAGAGTGTGCTCACTAAAACTATAAACGCCACAAGAACTGATTGGGCGAAAAAGCTTGACGATGCACTCTGGGCCTATAGGACTGCATTCAAAACACCTATCGGTATGTCACTGTACAAGTTGGTATTTGGGAAGGCCTGTCACCTGCCTGTGGAGATAGATCATTGAGCTTGGTAGGCACTAAAGCAATTGAACATGAACCTTGATGAGGCAGGAGAAAATCGATTGACACAGTTGCATGAGTTGGAGGAATTCAGATATCACGCCTTTGAAAGCACGAGGATCTATAAGGAAAGAATGAAGAGGCTACACGACAAACACATTGTGGACAGAAATTTCACAAGGTATTATTGTACAGTTCAACGTTGAGATTGTTTCTTGGTAAGCTTAAGTCCCGATGGTCTAGGCCGTTCAGGGTGACCGAAGTGTTCCCGTCTGGGGCTGTGGAGATAACTAGTGAAGATGACACCAACACCTTCAAGGTTAATGGACAACGAGTCAAACTGTATGTGGGGATGGATGAAACAAAAGAGTTGTCCGTGGTACTTCTCAATGAACCATAGAGGTTGAGCGAATCTTAAATACGCTCACTCTGCGCCGTGCCACGACGTTAAATCAAGTGCTGGTTGGGAGGCAACCCAACATGTATAGTTTTATTTAGTGGTAATATTAACATGTGCAGGAGTTCTAGAAAAGGGGCAGGCAAAAGTTTCCACGAAGAAAGAAGACAGAATGATGGCACGCCTGGACTAGCGCGCTTGCGCTACACCAGTGCTAAGGCCCGCTAGTCAGGTTAAACACTGCCCAAATTGGTTTCAACTAGCGCGGCCGCGCTAAGCCCGCGCTAGTTCGGTTATACACTGCCTCAGGTGTATGCCACTAGCGCGCCCGTGCTACCCCCGCGCTAGTCAGGTTAAACACTGCCCGTAACTCTTTCGACTAGTGCACCCGCGCTAAGGCCGCGCTAATCCCCTCGACATCAGGTAAGTCCGGATATGTTTTTATTTTATTTTATTGCTTCTCTTTTAATTTTTTTCATTAACCCATTTACTTTTAACCCTACCCAACCGCCCAACCCCTTTTATTTCACCCCCTCTCCATCTCCTATCACACTACCACCCCAAACTAAACCCTCCCTTCTTCTTCCTCATCTATTCCTCACAAACCATTCCTCCATACATAACAATTTACAGCACAAGGTTCCTCCACCTCATGAAGACCCTCCATATCTCTTTTCATCATTCATTACACTTTCGCTCTCATCCCCTCTACTGGTATGTATTCCTCCCTTTGATTTTGTTTTTAATTATTTAATTTCGTTTGTTAATTTCTTTTCCTTCTTTTTGCTTTGTATGGTAGAATGCAGTCTTATTTTAGGGTGGAAACACTTGTTAGTAGTAATGTAGGGCTGAAACCTTTCAACATACAAATTGTGGGGGTGATATGTGTTTATTGGGTTACTTCGGTGGTGCTCCTTATGTTGAAAGTATGCTTTGGGCTTAAAATTAGCCATTGTCCACCATGTGTTTGTTAAAATGCCTTTTTGGAGGAAGTGTTGTAACCAATTCAGTGGTGAAGTCTGAGTAGTCACGGTTGAGTCACTTGATTGTATAGAACTGACGTTGGACTAATTGTAGGTACCATGCCTCCCCATAAACGTCATGCAATAGGAACCTTCTCCAGCCGCCCGACTCAAGCCAACACCGGGGGACGACCTCAGAATTCGGTTGATTCCAGGACTTTCAACAGTCAGAAGTTTGTGTATGCCAAGGCCCAAGACAGGTTCAATAAAAAAAGAGGCCAAAACCATGGTGCCGGAACAAGACATGGATCCCAACGCACTAGGGGTAACCTGTCCCACTATACCCTTCGAGCTGAGGCGACGAGGACTGGACATATTTTTTGAGGAGCCTATTACCGCAAATGTCATGCTTGTAAGGGAATTCTATGCGAACCTGCCAGAATATGAGAACTATACTGTTACGGTGCGCAAGAGACCGGTAGATGCCTCTTTGGAAAATATCTGAATTCTGTACAGGCTTCCTCCACCAGTTGAGGGGTACGTGGATGCGTACCAATCGTACAATAGTAGGCATACTCCCTGGTCCACATTCACTGAGACCATATGTCAACCGGGAGCCACTCTGCAATGGTACAAATATGGGAATAATTTCCACTCCTCGGCCCTCAAGTTTGAATCCAAATGCTAGTTATACTTCATAAATAGTCGACTCCTACCCTACAAGAACCTATTCGAAGTGAATATCCCTCGAGGGTGATTAATTTGGTGTTTCATGAACAATGGTCCATTTGACATGGCCAATGTAATACATGATGAAATGTTCCACCGAGTCAGGGTGCAACGATATGGTTTATACTACCCGTCCCTTGTCACCCGGTT